TTTTACTGGCGAGGAAGAAGGAACTAGACAAGAAATAAGAGGACACTGAAAGAAATAAAGACAAGACTGGGTGAATGGATATGCTGTGTATGTTTGTTTCCCGTTTCTTCGACCTGATGCAGATCTGGAATAGGACAGTCGAAGTGTGGCGGACGAAGGAAGTGTTGACGAGGGTGATACCGTGATAGCGGTAGCTGTAGCATATAGGGGAAAGGGTTAGAGTTACTCAGGCTCTTTGACAACAGGCACAATGTCAGACCAGTTTGATGAGCTGGTCGCGGACGCTTTCTACGGGTACGGGTTGGAGGATGGGTAGGCGAAGTTTTGAGTGAAGTTTTGGGGAAAATGATGGGCCACGGAACGGCATAACACTCAGAGATTCGCCACCACTGCGAACTTGTGAATTGTTGCTCATTTAACTGTTGTTAAATTGTCTGCACCTATTTTGGTGTTTCGACTACGATTGTATTGTACCATGTGTGCATGAGAGATTGTGAAGCTTTCTGTCAGTTTTCACCACATATGATACAACGAGGACTGCAGAAGGGGGTTCCAATGACTTGTCGTGTAAGGTATGTATAATAAGGGTAGTATGTATAAGAAGGTAACGAAAAGGGGTATTGGCAGCAAGGTACCGACGTACCTACCTCTTTCTTAGGGGCACACTCGCTTGTCCTCACCCAAATACAACACCCGGTCGCTATGTAGCTGTATTTGAGGCAAACTTTTGGTCTAGGTACAGCTATATAACGACAGGGGGGGTCCTACCTCTTTCTTAGGGGGGCACAATGTCGCCGCCTTCCTCAGCTAAATAGAACACCCAGTCACTGTATCTGTATTTCAGGCAACTTGTGGTCTAGATACAGCAACAATGACCGGTGGTCCTATTAGGGGGAAGATGGTAAATGTTGTGGTCTTGCTTGCTGGAGACATCCCGGAAAGTCTTGAGTGTGACGAGTATATGACGTCGCTCTTCATTATATGCTCTGGGAAAACGACGAGTAAATGAAGAGTACTTTTGCTCGAGGGAGAAATCTGCTTTCGATCGTGTCAAGAACAAAAAAAAAAAAAAAAAAGGATCAACAACTACTTTGTACATTCAATCAAAAAAGAAAAGAGAGAGCTTGCAGCGAATAAAGCAGCTGAATTCAACGAACACCAGATGGTAGTCCCGGAGAGGCCTTATGCTGGCCGCATCGTTCTCGGGCTGAATCCGTGTGTCCCGAGGTCCGAACCAAACCACCTCTGCTATCCATCCCTTCCCCAACCATTCTTGGCCAAACTTCGTAATCACGGATGCAATGTCTTTTGGTTGATGTAATGAGTCTAATGTTTGTATTGTTACTGCCCATAGGCGAGAAAGTTCTAGTTGGAACTGCTGTTTGAGGTATTCCTTTTTCTCCTCCCCATCCACCATCACCTTGTCCATGGCAAGGGCACATCGTTGCCACCAAATGACCCATAGAATCACTCGTCGTCCCAGGTGGAACATGTTCCATGCGAAGGTCTGATTTTGGAGGTCCGGGCGATGGCCCAGCAGAATCGCCCGCCACTCCCATGGCCATGCGTGTCCCGGGACCATATGTCGCCATATCCTCTCCCACCATCTCCATATTGCTACCGCTACCGGGCATTGGAGGAAAATATGCTCTATTGTTTCTTCTTTTTTCCTTGACGGGAAGGTTAGAAGACACCGAGAGCACCAAGGCAGTCCCCGCCCTTGCTGTTCCAGGTGGGTGTGGTCGATCAGCCAGCTGTTAGTAGGGAGACAGCGGTGTATAATTTGCCATTGTAAAGATGTGATCTTGGCCGGGCCGCATTTACAGTCCTTAAACCATCTGATGGGTGCCAATATTTGTCTGTCTATATTCAAGTGTCGCTGCCAGCGATCACGGACCATCTCTCATAACTTTTTTAACTCTAAGCTTTCGGTAGGAAGCTTTGACTGTCATGTTCCAGAGGGGTACGGGGTTTAAATCGTGTGCCCTAGGGTGAGCTGGCGGGTTCCACACCCACTCTACCGGGTCCAGGGGAAACTCACTCAACGGGGTCCCGGGCCTGAAAGCTTTTTGCCCCTCCCCCTCACTGTATACTCTCACTCGGTGGAGCTGGGTCTTAGAAACCCATATAAAGGGGTCTGTACTGCCCGCCAGTCGCCCATCCTTTCCTACCCGATACTCTTCAACCAGGGCATCGTCTGCACGCACCCAGTGAACTAGCCCTATGCGTTTGGTCCAATCATTGGTATTGACCCAGTCCCCCTCTTGCAGTTGTGGACCCTTGCGCAGGATGTGGAGCCAGGCCAGAGGGAAGGCCTCAGTAAGTTCCTCTACTGCTGCTTCAGAGTTATGGCAGTAGCGGAGGAGTCCCTTCATTTGTTCCAGTGTTTTCCAGTCATTTCTGAGGTCGTCCCACAGATCTTTTACTCTGGAAATCCCATTCTTGACCCACCCCTTCCATGGTCAGTCCGAACTGCAAAAAATCTGGTTGTGTGTGTTTGTGATCCATCGGTTCCCAAACAGGGGCTGTCTTGCCACTTCCTCCCACCGGTCCGGAGGCGGGCGATCTGGGGCGGAAGGTTTCCTCCAGGTTTTTATTAGTCATGGCCACTGATCATTGCTCAGGCCCCTCGGGACCTTCCAATACCTGTCGTTTAACCATCTCAATGGATCTACCTCTGGGGGAGATTTTGGGGCCAGGTGTGCTATCTGTCTTATAGCCAGTGGGGTCCACTGTTGGGATGCCTCGAAGATCAGCCGCACCAACCACAATAGGCTCAAAGCCTGTGTCTGAGTGGGGGGGTCTATGATGCCCAACCCCATTTGTGCTTTGGGCTGAACCACTGTGTCCCATGCCGCTCGACTTATGGCGTTAGTAGTCTGGCTGTCCCCTCTCCATAGATATGCTCCCACCTTTCGTCTAAGGGCTCTGTGGGCCACCTCGCTGGCTGGCCATAGAACAGATTTGTACCATAGTGTGGCAAGAACCACATTATTGATTACCAGGGCCCTTCCGAACAGGGATGTGTGCTTGCGGTCCCAGCGGTCAAATTTRGCTAATGCCGGGGCCGTAATCCAGTCGTCGTTGTCAAGCGGGCGGCCGTATGCTGACATTTTTACCCCCAGGACCCTAACAGGCGCCTCCTGAGGGGTCCATGAGACGCGCGGCTCTTCCGGGGGACGACTCCCCTGGTGGTGGATCCACCAGCCTTGTGGTTTTTTACCCCAATTTATAGTCATGTATGAGAGGGCGCATAATCTATCCATTAGCCGCTTTATCTCATCCATGTTTCTGGGTGTTGCGTCGGTCATGATCGTCAGATTGTCAGCAAACAACGAACAGATCGGGACAGCTTCATCCGGGATTCCGGACAGGTTAATTTTTTTCAGGTTTCTGCTGCTGCGTAAGTTGGTCGATAAAGCTTCCATGGTGAGGACGAAAAGAAAAGGGGCTATCGGGTCACCCTGCCTGACTGATCTGTGGAGTTTAATTTCTGGAGCCAGGTTGCCATTTATCTGCACCCTAGTGGTAGCATTCCGGTGCAGAATCTTAATCCATCTTCGAAAGGAAGGGCCAAAGTTGAACTTTTCCAAGCATTTGTCAAGAAAGGTCCAATCTACGTGGTCATATGCTTTCTCGAAGTCAATGAAGACCAACGCTGCATTACTTTTGTCCCTGCGTGCCAGGTTGATTCCATCATGGATTAGGAGAATGTTTTCTTGGATGTTTCTCTTGCGAATGAAGCCTGTTTGCGATGGGTGCACCAGATCCTCTACCACCTCTATTATTCGATTGGCCAGTGCCTTGGATAGCATCTTGTAGACCACTGTCATGAGGGTAATCGGGCGATAATTACGTATATTCATCCTGTCTGCTTTTTTGTGGAGCAAGGAGAGCACCCCTTGTCCCACCATTTCGTCCATCTCTCCTGTATTCCAGACTTCCTCATAGAATTGCATTAGGTCATCGGAGAGGTGCGGCCACATGGTTTCCCAAAATTCTTTTGGGAAACCATCTACCCCTGGCGTCTTTTCGTCGTCCATTTGCAGCAGTGCGGTCTAGATTTCTTCTTTAGTTATTCTGCGTTCTATCTTTTCCCTCTGTTTGGGTGATAGATGGTTCTCCATAGGGTCCAAAAACCTGTCCACTTTTGCAAGGTGTCGGGGGTCCTGTGGCTGAGAGATGTGAGATGAGAAAAGGCCTTGGAAAAACGTCCTGGCTATCTTTACGCTATGTGTGGTTGTTGTGGCCAGTTCCCCAGTTGTGGGGTCAAGAAGGTCTTCTATCGTTGTCCGATGGGCTTGGATTGATGCAAGACTGAAAAATTGTGAGTCCATAGTTCCCTCAGTGGTCCATTTTGCGAGTTTCCCTATGATATTAACTCCCTGCCATCTATATTGGGCATATTGTAATAGTTGGTCTTTTAACTGTTGGATGGTGTTCGTGTGTTCCTCTGAAGTGTCCTGTGAGACCAGGTCATGAAGTTGGTTGTGGGTCTCCATTTTTCGGGAGTATCGTTGATTCGCGACCAATTTTGAATAGTCTTTGCATTTCTTGGCCAAGAAGAACAAACCGTTTGTAAACCATTGGATTTGTGATTCAAAGTGTTGCCTTTGGTTGTGCCAATAAGCCCACACGTCTCTTGTGAAGTTCCGAGAACCTTCGACTTTCAACAGTGATGTGTTCAGTTTGT